CATATAATTTGGGTATTACATGGAAAGAGCCATTTCTGGGCTCCCTTCCAAAGAGGAAAGACAATGAATAAACACACAATACAGATGACAAGAGGGGAGTGCAGAAAACATAATTTTTGCAAGAACACTTCACATCATAGCATAGGAGAAATATCACAAGTGTCTGCAGAGGGCATACCACGTGCACATACAAAGAATCCTGCCCCTAGAGAGGTTCAGAATTGAGGCAAAGGCCTATTGGAAGCCCAGGATGGGACAAAAGACAGGATTAGCTTAATGTTTATAAGGAGATGCAGATCCCTGTCCTGTATGATACAGACAAGCAACTTCCACTTAGCAGCATTTGTTTTTCTATGGAATAATAATAATAATGAACTGAGGACCAGGGCACAGGTATGACTGTGAGCTGGGATGCCCCATGCTTCACTGAAACGTGGCTGTTAGAGCTGTACTGCTCACTGAGGCGTGCTCCACTTCACCTCTCAGCCTTCACTGAGTTCCTAAGTTATACAGCATTCAAGAAAACAAAGTCACTTCACAACGACCCTCACTCTGAGAGCTGGGGACCAAGGGCAGGTACACCGTTCTGATAATGTGATCTACTTTTCCATTAGCATCTCAAGATTCATGCCACTTCCAAAACATCTGAGCCAAATGCATCTTGAAAATCCTACCCCATCCCCAAGGCCTGGAAAGCTCAGGCCAAGGCAGTGTGTGTGTGTGTGTGTGTGTGTGTGTATGTGTGTGTATACTTCCCATATCCCTGTATTCTGGAGCCACAGTCCACCTCAGGGACATCAGTTTTCTGAAGTAAGAAGGCTATTCAAGTAGTTGTGACTTCCCCGAGTCACAATAGCGATCTATTCTGACAGAAACATGAAGGCAGGGACAGTTTTCTCAGAGTCCTCAAGGGCAGGAATAAGTATTAGTAGTAAGTGTTCTACTTGCCAACACATGAGTTTGGGGAAGTGATCCTCCTTGTGTTGGGCTCTGGCCTCTCCAGCTATAAAAACAGGACAATACCACGTGCTTCATGAGACTGTTGTAAGACGAAGCAGGGTAAACATACTGGGAACATTCAGTCTGTTATTCAAGCTGTCTGTACCAATTCCACATTCTTAACAATAAGCCTAAAGACAACTACATGAGCTTCATATTTACTTTGCAAGCATGTAATAATTATACGAGCAACACGAAGAGAGGTCTGATGAAATGATTACCACACAGTAACAAAGCATAAGCCATTACAGAAAAACCCACATTCCTACATACCCAGGAAAGGTAATTATTAAGCCTTCCTTCTAAGAAAATACAGATGCTATCAGCTAACATTACAGAACTGAGAAAAAAAAAATCACTTTCTTCCTGCAGTGCTGGGGATAGAACCTGGGGCCCTTTACTTGCTAGGCAAGCTCCCTGTGACTGAGCTGCACTGTGGCCTGAAACTGCTGCCTATGCTATCACAAAAGTGATTTGTTGAAAAGCAATGTCTGCTCCTTAATGGCAACTTACTGGGTGTTCATTCAATTAGGATTTTAGTTTAGGTGTAGATGTAAAATAACATCAGATGGCAAAAGTGTCCATTCCATGTTAGGTCCAAAGATAAAACAGTTATATTTCCTGCTCTTAAGGCCACAGATTGGTCAGCCACTGCCACAAATTATAATGGTACCATGAAAAAGACCACTCACTCAGGGGACCACTGAGTCAGAGGACTAACCACTCATCCATCGAGCTCTGTGCAGGGAGCCAGAAGACCCAGCCCATGTCCCAGCTCAGGAGCATCTCTGGACCTTGTTTCACTGAGGTCGTAGGTAGAGATGGGCCAGCTTGGAGATGGTAGTGTCACACAGTGCTGTTGGAAAGCCTCCACATTCACACTACACCATCAGGGCTGAGAGACTGGACAGAGTGCATCTCTCCAGGGCACACAGCACGGACATTCTCAGATAACCTCCATCCGGGAATGCACGGTCTCACGTATCAACCCCAGAGCACTAGTCCCTGTGACAGAACAATCTACTTAAATGATCAGAATTTTAAAAAAACAACAAAACATTCTTCTAAAACTATATTTCAAAAGGTTAAACAACTTTGTTTTGGGCTGAGGATGTCGCTCAAATGGGATAGTGCTTCGTAATCCGCATTAAGCCTTGGCCTCCACCCTGTGCTGCTCGTTTTTATTACAGCTTGATACAAACTGGAGTCATCTGAGAGGAGGGAACCTCAACGGAGAAAATGCCTCCATAAGACTGTGCTGTAGGTAAGCCTGTAGAACATTAATTAGTGATTGATGGAGGAGGGCCTGGCCCACTGTGATGGTGCCACCCCTAGGAATGGTGGTTCTATGAGAATGCAGGCTTAGCAAGCTATCAGGAGCCAACCAGTAAGCAGCACGGCTTTTGCATCAGCTCTGGCCTCCAGGTTCTGGCCCTGTTTGAATTTCTGCCCAGACCACTTCTGATGAGAAACTGTGATATAGAAGTGTAAGCAAAACAAAATCTTTCCTCAAGTTGCTTTTGGTACTGGTGTTTCACCCCAGTAAGAGACCCTAAGACACATCTCAAGCACCATAGAAGCTGGACATGGTGGTGCTCTCTTGCATTTCAGAGATGGAGAATCAGAAGTTCAAGGTTATCCTTAGTTACACACTGACTTTTGAGACCGACTTGGGACCAAAAAAAAAAAAAACAAAAAAAAAAACTGTTGTTTTTTCAAGACAGGAGTTCTCTGACTAACAGTCCTGGTTGTTCTGGAATTCACTTCGTAGACCAGGCTAGCCTCGAACTCAGAGATCTGCCTGCCTCTGCCTCCTGAGTGCTGGGATCAAAAGTGTACACTACCATGCCTGGCTAATTTGGGCCACTTTTAAAAGTGTTTTAACTTATCATACATTTTGGCAATGAGATCACTGATGCAAGTCTGGAACCCATTATGTCATCTGTGATGTTCAAGAGAAGTTCCAGCACTACCAGACACTGTGACCTGACATTGGTTCAGAACAATCCAGCCTGGCAGTTCTGAAGTAGACTGAAGTGAAAAACCTTATAAAATACTGACGATGTCAAAAGCATCGTGAGGATGAAGCAGTGGTGGTGCAGATCTTTTATCCCAGCACTCAGTGGGCAAGCAGGTGAATCTGTGTGAGCTGAGACCAGTTTGTTTTGTTTTTTTAGATAGGGTCTCTCTACATAGACCTGGCTGGCCTTGAACTCAGGAGATCAACCTGACTCTTCCTCCCAAGCGGTGGAACTAAAGGCCTGCACCATCACAGTTTTGTTTTTTTTTTTTTTTTGGTATAAAAAATTCCAGGCAGCCAGAACTACATGGTGGAACTTTGTTCCTAAAAAAAAAGCTCTGCAAATGTGAACACTCATTAACAGAAACACACAGGTAAGTATATAACCCATACAGTATAAACCATCTTATATTGTGCCATTTTGTGTGACTCTGCAATGTATTAAAGTGTTACAAAGCCTTACTGATCCCAGCTTGCAAATATCTGTTACCTCCTAACATTGTATCTGTTTTTATATATTACTTCTAAGAGAAAAGTTGCTACAATTTTAAACAATTTACCTAAAAAGCTATTTAACACTACTGCAAATGTGGCCAATAGAAGCCTGGCTAACTTCACCAACTAGTAGCTTCAAAAGGGATGATAAAAGCCCTGATTATGCTTACTTTGCCTACAGCATTGGGCTGGTTACTTAAAGTGGGCTCCAATTCTTGAGTCTAAGTGGCAGTTTAAGAATGGTGCATTTGTAAAGCCAGAATATTAACTGAGGAAAAAGAAAACTATAAACCAAGATAAGTGCATTGTGGTTTATTTTTAAATCTTGTACAACTGTAATGTTCCTTCAAAAACCCCATTTAATGTGAATATTTGCACTATTACAAACTTAAATTCTTGGAAAAGTATGTAACAGAGCATCCCAATTTACAAGGATCTTATAATCAAAGGACGGCTACGTGGGCTACCTCAGGCCCTCTCTGGGTCACCCGTCCTATAAATGAGGAAAACTTTCTTGCCATTTCAGATTCTGAGGAGGCTCCTTTCAGCTCGAGTGTGTAGGGCACAGATATTCCCCACTTTCCCAGGCGATGGGGAGAGCAGGGTAGTGTGTTTAGAACACTAGCCACCAAACAGAAATTCAAGTAAGATTATGGGCAGAATACTCAGTTGGAGTCACACTATTGAAAGTCTACGTGTCTACTGCAACAATTTGGTTAGCCTATTTATATTGAAGCATTTATTTCTAATGAGCAAGAGGGGAGTGTGTGTGTACATATCCAGATGGTAGAGTTTCTCCAATCTACACAGCACGGTGATCAAGGGGTGGGGTGGGGGTGGTGGTGGCTGCACATTTCAGGCAGGCACCGAGGAGGAACGGCGGCACCTTCCCAAGCCCAATCAAAACCAACCTGAGACATATAACCCTTAAGTTGTGAGATCAAGGGGCCAGAGGCTTTCCAGAATGCAATCAGTGCGTGCCAAAGCTGCTTTAACACAAATCGCGAAGGGGAGGGGCATGGAACAGCCCAAGCCTAGGCTCCAAGGTTGAGCAGCTATTTTAAAAATGGGCCTGGGGTGTTTGCACACTTGCCTGGTCCGGCCAGAAGCTGGCGCATCCTGGGAGCTTTAAAACACAAAAACTAACATCCAGCTCGAGGTAGGTGCCGGGAGCTCAGCGCCCTCCCAGGAAACCGCCCACTAGCGACCTCCCGGCTGGGCGTCAGTCGAGGGCCCACTTCTTCAGTCAGCAAGCGGAGCCGACGGGAGGCTCCGCACCTGCCCGGCCCAGGCCCGCGGCCATCAGCTCCGGCGGCTGCTGCGGCGTTCCGGTGCGCGCGCGCGCTCAGCCAATCGCGTGCTCGCCCGCCCCCCGCCGCCGCGGTGAGGCTGGCGCCGGGAAGAGGAAGAGGAACATTCGCCCTCCTCCTCCCAGCGCGCGGGCGGCGGCGGCAGCGGCACCGGGGTCACGAACTCTGACCTTTCACTGACAAAAACAATAACAAAGCGCGGTCCTTCCGCGACCCCGGCGGCGGTAGGGCCTGGCCCACCGCCCCGTTCCGCACCGGCCCGCCGCGGCGTCCCGGCCGCTCGAGCCCCCGGGCTCCTGCCCTCCGGCGCCCGCCCGGCCCGCGCCCTGCCCTCCGTGCCGGGGGCGCCCGCCGCAGACACGGGACCTGCTCCGCGGCTGTTGTGGCGTCCGACCCTGAGGTAAGAGCAAGCCGCCGGGGCGAGCAGGGCCGCGGCGCGGCGGAGGGAGGGCCTGCGCCGCCATGGAGGCCGCGGAGACCGAACGCGGCCTTTTACCTTTGCCACGGGGCGGTGGCGGCCGCGGCGGCGGGCGCTTTGCATAGTGGGCCGGGCCGCACCCTCCCCTCCCCTCCCTTCCACTCCCCTCCCCGTCTGCGGCCGAGCCCGGCGAGCCGCTGTCTTGACCGGGCCGGCCGCGCGCCGTGGGGGCGGAGGGGAATGTCCACGGCCCCGCCTCACGCCTGGCCCTCCGCCAGCGCCGCCATCTTGTCCCCGCGGCGCCGGCCCGCCGGCCGGGCTCCCTTCCGCGCGCCTGGCCTGCCCGCTTCTTCCTGTGTTCCCGGCTCCTCACCCCAGCATTCCCCGCCTGCCGTTGGTTGCCACCCTGGCCCAACCGCCGTTTTTCCTGACTGGGAGGGTGGAGGGACGGGGAGGGAGGCGTGGGCAGGGCGCGACCTCCTGAGTGACGGCCGGGCTGACCAATCGCCCCCCGTAGAGGAAGGCCGCGGCCTGCGGCGCCGCCCCCGGGGCTGTGCTGGTTGGTTCAGGCGGGAGAGGGAGGTCCCGGGGGCCGATAGTGCGGGGTGTGAGTCTCTGAGGAACTCGGTGGGTCTCAGACTGGGAGCCTGACGCTGCTTTTTGAACCCATGGCGCGACCTGGAGGCAAGAGCTTGTCGGCACACGGAGGCTCCTCGGGCTTCGCGTTTTCCTCACGACTCTGGACGGAGTCCCTTGCGGGCTCAGTTTCAGTCAGTGATAGCGGGATGGCAGACGTTCTTGCCAAGCCGCGCTTCCCTCCTCAGCATTGTTTGATGGTCTGTTCTCAGAAAATGGAGTCCAGGCTACCCTGCGAGCCTCAAAGTAATTTGCAAATAGTGGTGTTAGTTTTTTGTTTTTGGTTGTTGTTCTATTGTGCTGGGGACAGCTTTACCATTGGGTTACATCACTACCTCCAAAATGGTAATGTGGAAAAATTCGATATGAAACCAACTGGAGTGGAAAACTTGTGATTCTCTTCCTTCGTTCATTAAACACAGATGAACCTAGTTTTAGGCACCAGGGATACTTCGGAGATTTGACTGGTCAAGGAGCTGTTCTCCCCTAGGGTGTTGGGTACAAAGGCGGTACAAAGGCTCAAGAGTAGTCAGTTCCAAGGAAGAAACTGAATGCTCTACTGAAGGAGTCGTGAGGGCATTAGTTTAGATTGGAGGACGAGGAAGGCCGGCTTTTCTGAGAATGTGATGTTTAAAAAGAGTTCAGGGAAAGATCGGGGTTCTAGAGAGCAAGCTTGAAGATGGGAAAAGAAGGCTTTGGACATGAATGCTTCTTGGCTTGTGGGGAGAGCCTCAGAAATTCACTTTACTTCCAGATTTAAAGCCTTTGTTGGCTTCTTTTGTCCCTTTGAAGCTATCAAATAATGAGCTGAGCTCCACTTATACTGTAGGGCTGGAATATGAAAATGACTTAAGACATGGATCCCTAAATATGTGCCTGTTAGTCCAACACTGGATGCTCACAAAATGGAAGTTAGTCATTGTGATTACTCAGTTTACTGAGTTTGCTCAGTTAACTAAATGTGATTTGGGGCAAATTACTTAACTGTTCTTGAGCCTTAGTATTTTTATCAGAACAATAATAGAACCTTATCTCCAGAATTGGGGGTTAAATGAGATTATGTAAATAAGTAGCTTATATATGTCTGCTATATAGTAAGTACTGAATAATACACATTATGAAGTAGTAGTTATCTGTTCAGGACATTGGCTTAGACAGCATAGTATAGGAGCAAAGGCACTGCATTGAAGCATGAAATTTGACTCCTTTTTTCAGCTACTTGTTTAGCGCCCAATACAAAAGTTTATTTAGAAAACTATGGACCCAGTAATAACACAAGTATGCATTAGAATTTCCACGTAACAGTAGTAGTAGAAGGCCTTTTCCAGAAACCTTTCTGATGTTTGCGGTGGTTTTCTTATTCCTTATTGTCTGTGCTCTAGACGTACTAGCCCACCTTTATCTTTGATTTGACAGTGTGGCTTATTATCTTTTGTTGCAGGATACTTGATCCTACTGTGGTCCTCAAAACTGTGAACTGTAAAACCCTGTTTCTTTGGTGTTGTTGAGCCCTATCACACACCTTTAAAGCGAGAACTTTCTGTTTATTGTAAACAGGTGATTATGGTGTGGTTCACCCAGCCCTAGCACACACATTCAATCCAAGAGCTTTCGGTATACTAGATCTAATACAGTTAGATCCAAGAGCTTTCGGTATACTGGATCTACATAGTTAACCCAAGGTTAAGAGGCAGCGCTAGAAACCAGCTGAAAGGAATTATAGAGAAGGAAGGACTTTGAGTTGGATATTTAAGACAGCGTGGAGAAGAAAGGACTTTTAGCTCAAGCTCTGGTTTTAGCTCAGGCTTTGGCTCCTTAGCTCTCCGCCTTTTTGGGCTTTGAACTAGCAAGCCTTCCGCCTTGAGGTTTTTTGGCCTTTTCCTCCTGGGCTGTCAGTTGTACTAGTGAGCCTTTTGGTTTTTTTCCATCCAGACCTATGCTGAGAAGGAAGGTGAGCTGGGTGCTTACTCTGCCTCTCTGAGCTAGCCAGTTTTCACCCCAGCATCTGGCTCCTGAGTCCTTATTGGTAAAAGAGAACGGTTGGGATTTTCTTAATAACAACAATCTTCCCTAGGCCTCTCACCTTGATATCAAACATTTGCCTCTTACATTCCTCCCATCCCTAGTCATGCAGATCTCTGTCAGAGCATGCCTTTCTCCAGGATGTCCTCCTTGGTTCCTAATGCCCGTGTAGGGCAGATTCTTTATATTGTGCTTCTTTCCTTTATAGCTTTTTATCTCACTTTGTAATTACTCCCTTATGTAATTGCTTGATTAATGTCTAGCCTCGAAAATACACTATCAGCTTTAGGCAGGCAAAATTATTTTGCAAATCATTACGCATCTAGTACTTAGCAGAATACCTGACACTTTTGTTGAGTAAATTGTTAATTGATACTGCTGATAACTAAATGCTGCATATTTAATTGGTGCCTTTTTACCCACACTTGGCAGTTGGGTAAGCAACACCAGCAATAAAATGCGCATATTTTGCAAGGAATTTGAATTGGACTTCAGTAGACATTCTTTTAACATTTATTTTTTTTTTCCAGAGATAAAACTGACTGATGCTATGAACTAATTGGAAATCCCCTTTTGGTTGCTTACCAAAGTGAAAAGCAAATTTTACAAAATAAATATCAGACTTCCCCTGGGAAGTCTGATAACTAAAATACTTGTATATAACCTAATGGAAAGGACTGGCCAGCATGCAGGAAGCCTCAAGTTCCATTCCTGCATAAACTTGGTACAGTGGTGCATATTTGTAATCCCAGCGCTGGGGAGGTGGAGGCAGGATCAGAAGTTTCAGTGTCATTGTTGTCTACATACAGAGTTTGCAGCCATCCTGGCCTACATAAGATCCTTTGTCCAAGCCAGGAGAGGTGGCACTTGCCTTTAATTCCATCCAGCACATGGGGAGGCAGAGGCAGGCAGATCTCTGAATTTGAGGCCAGCCTGGTCTACAAAGTGAGTCCAGGACAGCCAAGGCTACACGGAGAAACCTTGTCTTGGGAAAAAAAAGAAAAAAGTACAAATATTTGAAATTAAATTACAGTATCTTTTAAAATAACAGCAGTCAGAGTTTTAGTTCTTTCTTTGGATGTTTCAAGAGACAGTTTAGGTTAAGATAAGCAAACACTTTCAAAAAGTGATTGGAGTAGGCTGTCCCAAAGTGACTTGAAGCCCAGTGGGTTCTACATTGTTTTCCTGAATATTATGAGGTGATAGAATGGTCATAGAGTAAGGTAACCTTTTTTCTCCCTCCCAAAGCATGGTGGCTCTTCTTTTTGGATTCTTCCAAAAGCTGGAGGTGTAAAAATCACAATGCAATTGATACTGTAATGCTATCTGATCTTTTGAGGATGCAGACCCTTTTGCATGCACATGTGTAAGAAAGGGCCTTTTTTACGTTAGTTTCTGATACAGTAATAACAGTCTAATTGAAGCTTCCAGGCTGTTTAACCACAAAGGGGCCTTCTAAAAGGAGACACAGCTACCAACATATAGCTGCAGTTTTCCCTAGTTACTTTGTATCTAACCCCTTGTCAGCCTGTGTAGTGAGTCCCCTTAAAGAAGAGACCCATCCAGATGTGGTGGTGGCTCAAGACTTTGCTTCCATACACAGGAGGCAGAGAGGTAGGTGTATCTCTGAGATCTAAGCCAGCCACTACTGAACTCTGTGTTGAGATCAGGAGTAGGGTCTGTGTCTGTGGCCTCTTCATTTTATAAGAGGAGTTATAGGAAGTTTTGAGGGTCTTTTGTTCTGTTTTGTTTGAGATGATGCCTGGGTTGGCCTTTAAACCCTGGCTCCTAGTGATCCTCCTGTGTTAGCCTCTGAACAGCTGGGACTATAGGTCTTTGTGCTACCATGCCTAGGTGGGAAAGTTTATAATACAAGGAGCCACGTGACCTCGTGTTAGAAGGAGCTTGGGCTGTGGAGTCAGAAAAACTTGGCTTCAAAATCTTGAGTAAGTAATCTTTGAGGCTTATACATTTGTAAACCGGGAAAAAGGGAGCCAACACTAAGATGGAAGAGAGTGAGCTCTGAGGAGTTACCCCAGTGACTGTAGACAAGGGAAGTGAGCCTGTTGATGCGATGGCCTGTATCTTGCTTGAGTGTCTCCACATACTGAGGCTTACATTTGGGTATTTGTCTTTTGATTGAGTTCTCCTGGGTGCCATTTGCTCCAAAGGGTTGAAGCATCAGAATGGACACCAATGTGGTCTTAATAAATACTTAACAGGGACCATCTGTGAAGGAACTTAGCAAAGGTGCTGAAGCCAGTCTGGGCCACATACTGAGATTTAGGTCTGCAACTCTATTGAAAAACAAAGTAGGAAGTGGC